AAGGAAAAAGAAGAAACCGGAGCATGTAATCTGTCAGCTCGAGATGAGAAACTCACTGCAGTGACAGAAAGAAGAAAAGAAAATCCAGATTCTCCAGCATCGGTGGGATGTCTGAGTCAATTTAAATTAAAGATAAGAAATATAAAAATACAAAATATGTCTGAATTAAACGGCTAAAAGGTAAAACTTTCCATTTAGTATTTTGTTTACTTACATGCAATTTTAGAATTTAATTGTAATTCAGAGCATTTTGTGGCTTATTGTGTTTTTGACAACTATAAATGATGACTAAATGGCAATGCCAGTATTCATTTTAAAGAACTGTTTGAATTCCCTTAGACAGCCATTCATTTGTTTGCAGGCACGGTCTACATTTGTAAAGTCAAGACAGGGTCTAACCTAGCACCAAAAAAGTGGGCCAATTCCAGTTAGTATATAAAAACAACAAACACTGAGATGTAATAGTTCAAATACCTTTTAGTCCAGTCTTCTGGGTCAAGCCCCCTCTCTATGGCTGCATTCTCAGCAGGAAGTCCAAAGGCATCCCAGCCCATTGGATTTAAGACCTGCAGACACAGTCAGGGAACTCGTTATTTTCATTAGCTTTCTGGAAAAATGTGAAAGCCATTCGATATTCCTTTTTTATGACTTTTTATACAGTAGGAGCTGAATTAACCAAAAAATGGCTTCTCTGAAACGATATGAAATCTGTTTAAATATTGGTCAAAAGTGTCACTGAAGGCTTCAGACTTAACATCACACTTAGACCAAGAGGAGAAAGTTTCCCAGGTGAAAGGAGGAAAATGAAAATAGCCCTGTGGTGTCAACGTGCACCATTCGCATAATTAACTGACAGCACCTCTGATCAGCATGCTGTTCACATTACAGCAGGATTTATGCAATCAGTAACTATTAAACGAAAAAAACAAGTCAGTCTAGGAGGAAACGAGGGTCCTCTGCACGCATCAACTTTATGGTGATGTGTAAATCCCTGCTGGGAGCTTACACGCCGGGATGAAAGCACACAGACTAAGAGCAGATGTTTTACAAAAATGTAAAAGAAACTGGTTTAACCTTAGAAAGAAGGGTCAGCATGCTTACATTATTACCCTGAACGTGTTTTAAATATACTGTCACTTTCTATACACATCCTCTCTGAACGCACGGCTCTCCCAGGCAAACGCTCGAGGCGACATCTTTTTGCGTCCTCGATGGTGTTTTTCTGCTTACTGGGCGAGACGAAATGAGAGCACAGGAGTGGAAGGCGTGAGTAAAGTAGAGGAGAGGCAGAGCGACGAGGACTCGAGAGCTGGAGAGCATCGCTGAACGGACCCTAACTGGTCTGATGTTTCAGACGAATTGGTATCCTTGGTAACTGCAGGGGCCTCATTTGTAAAGCCGAGTGCTGGATGGTATCAGGCTATGAGAGCTCAGGA